ACTCCTGTTTCGCCGGGATTTATGGCAACCAAGGAAAGCAAACAATGACTCGAATGAAGTCAACTGAGGTGAGTGACCCTGATGAATGAGGCCTGCATGTGGCGCTGTGCAGTAAACTGAACTTTAGGGTAAGAGGGTCGTTTGGCACCCCAACTTTATTTTCGCAAATCTGTAGGTTAGAAATAGATCTAATAATGGCTTGGGTTGAAGTGTAGGGATTAAATAGTAGTGTTGTTTTGTACGGACGTACAGCCTCCCATTGAAATTACGGCTGTAGGAATGTGTGGCTCCTACTATTACTGCTACTTAGCGTTTGATAGTGAAATTCAAGTGTAACATTAACCAGAATTATAACTAAATTTGTGGGTGGCCTAGACCGCTGGCAAGATTGCATGCAAAACTATCCTTAAACTGGAATATAGAAGGTAGCCAAAACAGCAGCAGAAGGCAACAGCCCTGTGGACGTTCATTTTTCATCAAATCATTTGTATGTTGATGATGTCGAGCTCTTGGCCAGAGAAAGGAAGCTAAACCTCTAGCACCTCTGCAGCAATCTCAACTTTCATACGAGTGAGTTTTTTTAATAAGTGTCCGGTAAATAATGCGATTATATGAAGTTCACCTTTAATTTAATCAGTCTCTCGCTTCACACATGAAACTATAACTTAGCTAATTTAATGTTTAGGAAAGATTAGCATCTATTTAAAACATTAATAGCGAAATATAACATGTCAAGACAATCAAAGATCATTAGAAAATAGCAATTGTGTGATAATGGCTTTAGTGCAAAACAATGGAAATGGTATGATCAAAACCATATTCTTTAGTTTAATTATGACTATGATTATATACAATTAAATTAGTACCTGGTAAAGCAATAGGTGTGTATGATCATGTCTGGTGCTCAGAGTCTTCTTATGCCCACATGGAATAATTATTATGCCGCTCTCGTTTTTGTATTCAATGATGCATCAACGTATAGTGCAAGTGTTATGTTCATCTGCTATGGAATGTGTGACTTCCCTTTTAGCCTGAACCAAAGACTTTCAAAGAGCAAGATGGAAAATGGTTAAGAAGGCCGGCTGAAACTTCAAGTCCGGCAAAATCGTTATTACATCAGAAGCCCACAGCAGTGATTTTACCATATCACATAACGTGAGTATTAGAATCTGGTCAGCCGTTAAAAATATGGTGTTGGATGGTTAAATGGTTAATAGCGTAAAGCTTAATGGTCATAATGGCCTGATGTTCCAGCGATTTTCTGGGTGAACGTAGTTCAAGACACGAAGCCTTGATAGTCAAGGTTCGTCTGCAGTGATGTTATGTTCGCCATAGCTGTATTCATCATCGCGATTCACCGAATTTCGTATGCTATACCTTCGCATAACGGTTGATTTTTAGGATTGATGACAATTGCGTGGAGCATGCGACAGAATATCAGCGTTGATGCGGAGAGATAAGCGATATCAGCCCCTACACACCAGACAGCTAAAGCCGCATCTCTGTCGAATTGTTAGCCGACCACTGCCCTCCAGCATGTCAGCAAAACTAGTTATGTGCATCATCACAACATTCCTACTATATAAGGGGCAACTTTCAATTAAGGTTTGTCAGCAGTTTCATGATCAATAGTAACGCTAAATTCTGTATATTCTATATATTGATATTTTTATATGTATGATGAGTGTGAGAGCATTGTAACGCTGTTTGGCAATAGTTTGACAATCAGCTTTAGCTGTCTTTTTCTTCCCCCCCACGGCTGTGGATAAAGCCGACAAGTCAATAGTTATTTTTTAATTCAGTGTGACAACGACAGCTAGACTGCGGTTGATGAAAGGATATGATTAGAAGTTGGTTATATAAAAATAAAATCAAAATTCTATCTCCCGATATTAGATTTAATTTTATGATTAATTTTATTAATATTATTTTTTAATAATTTTATTTAACTTATAATATAGCGGTAGCGACGCCCGTAGACAAGTCATAATATCGCCGAATATTGAAGAGGCGGATGCTTGTGTTATTGTAACGAGTGTACGGCTATGGAGCGCAAATTAATCTGCATACTTTCATCTCTGATTTACTTTATTTCGATTTGATATTGCTAACAAGGAAAATATTTCAGAGATTCTGTATGGTCCTTAGTAACGTCGTTCGTTTCTGCTTTGACACAGGTTGAGAAAATTAAAACACACAGACAATGTAACTCGGTTATCTTGCCTGGCAGGAAGCATCAACCGGTCACAGATAGGGCTCAGCTCGGACTCTGACGTGAAGTGTTCCCAATAACTATATTGCCCATTCCCTTTCCCAAAGCCGAACAGGAATGAGTTTCAAGTATTTTCACGATCTCGATCTCTCCACTCTTATCATTCTAGACTTAGCGCAAAACCTGTGCTTGCGAGATTTTAATTGTAAACAGTGTGTAGTGTTACATTCTAGAAAATATTATCATAGTAAAATGTGTTTGCCCTATGTTTAATTTCTTAGTAGGTATGTGTCTTAGACAGTAATGCTTGAAAATTATCACATATCTTATTTATTGATAGCCCCTTAAAGAAGATTTATACAGAAATATTATTGATAAACCAAAATTAGTAGATCTGCTTGCTGTAAACTTAAATGCAATTATATTTTTGTAAACGCTCATCCTGTCCTATGTGTTATTCGTTCTACCTGTGCATTATATGCACTTTTTTTAAATCTTGGGAAAAAAAACACTTACTTGTTTTAATGCTATGTGAAAGTGATATGATTCTGAGTTGGACTTTCATTCCGTTGACATTTCCTTTCAGTGAGATCGTATTTGGTTAGCCCACATGTCTTTGTGTGTTTTTTATAGATGTCAATAGAAAGTTTTCCGATTCTATTTTTGTATAAAGGGTTTGTGAAACGACTGCTTAGATTTCTGTGCGTTTTGTGCGTGTAGGTCTTCGGTCCTGCTCGTATTTAGTGGTGGCGGTTGTGTAGGCACATAATTGGCTTCAAAAATTAGTTGAGGGTGTGAGTTCTGTTAGTCAGGACAGTGCTCAGTGGAGACATTTGAGGCAGCAATGGAATGCCATTAGTGAGAAGGAAACACGTGAAGGGCATGCGGAAGCAGTAAGTAAGCCGATGATGTGTCGCTGTTTGCCATATCAGTGTCACGACACCGTGCATGAAATATCATTGACATAAGATAAATGTTGCTGAATTGCTGAAGGGTATTTTGTAGTTGTTTTGTAAGAATGTCAAATGTAAGAACAGTCATTAAACTGAGATCAGGAAGAATGATAGATACTGCAATATTTAGCAGATACAAACTACTGAATCTTTCAGCGGAATGTTTGTAGTTTGTGATTGGGCCAACATAATCATTGTCTGGTTATATTCTAATTGCGAGAAACAATTATTGAGAGAATGCACCCATATATGAGGGTTATTACCTTCTGGAAACTGACGGTCCATGTCCTAGGTTTTACTGGAGCTACACAAACAGTCCAGCACGTTGCAGATGCTTAAATTTTGTATTTTTTAAATAGCTCATGTGTGCGTGTGTGTATATGCATGCTTCTGATAATTACATATTGTCATGTTAAAGCAGCTATCTGGCCAGAACCGTGAAATTTCATTTATTTTCCTACTCACATGCCGTGTAGTTTATCATCTCATAACATAAATTGGCCACATTCCGTCATTGTACATCTTTTAAAGACTTGTAGTGTACTCATAAATACACACAAGAAATCATAAAACCAGGCAAGGTAGAATATTTGAAAACCAAAATAGAAATTACTAACAAAAATGCAAAAATGCTGTGGCGCTATCGAGCTTGAGGGTTTGTTTTAATGTGCCTAAAACCATTTAGTAGTTATATGGTGAGTGAGCGGAGACATGGTTTAAGTAGTCCCTTCAGGCTCGCAATTAAATACAGCAGTATGGTTGATTCGTGCTGCGTGATGTTGCGTACCAGGTGGCGCGATATTTCACAACATCAAAATCTTCTAGTGAAACGCTTTGTAAACACGTGATAACGCGTTTATATAGACATGACGTTTGTTGCCGCTCATTTGATAGCCCATCAAATTGTTACCTAGGTTATATCAGTTAGTTTTGAAAATGATATCACTTGTGCGATATAATACGTACGAATGTTCATGTGTCTGTTGGCATGTTTCACGCCATAACAGCTTAGTGTAATAGAATCAGAAAGCAACTGCCGTGTTGGATGTAAATTTTTATTTTGGATATAACAGTTTTATTTCCTCTACACCCAGCTTTTAGACACTATAAGCGTTGTTTATAAATACATGCATTTATTCATACTCTTCTTACATATGTTAATTAATTTAATACGTGTAACGTAATACTAAAAAACTGTCAATGGATTTGTGACTCAGATTTTGTGTGGACTACGTCATGCCACTGTTCTGGAAGTTACTTGGTGGTTATTTTCTCGGTTTGTTTGTTTATCTTCACACATATCTGCCATGGGCTAATATAGAAAAATTTGTAACAATACGCTTCGAAAATTCATCAGCTTAGCGTAAAACAATATGAAGGTTAATTGAAGCCGCAACGCTGGTGAGTGTTCTCTCGCC